GTAAGAAGTCAATTATTCAACACAAAATATTATTTTTTATATTATCAATATAAGTACCCTATACCATATAGAAAAAATCAATTCATCTAAAAATATTGAGTAAACAAACTAGAGTAAATATATATTTGTCACAAATAACTTACTATTATTTTTAATTTGAAATGAGTCAAAAAGAAATTTATAATTTTCTTTATTTGTACACAATTTTTATTATGTTTCCTATTATAATAATATAAAAATATTTCAAATATTAGTACTTATTAAAGAAAGTGTGTTTATTTGTGAGATGTTGGTTCTAAATAGTAAAACTCTTAAATTGAAATTGTTGTTTGATATGATATAAATATGTATTGATATAATGTTTTGAATGCAAAATTAAATTTTAAGTGTAAATAATAAATAAAAATAAGTATTTAATTTGATATTTTTTGAAAATAAATTTTAAAAGTAAAATCAAAACTAAAATCGCAGTAAACACTCTTAGATATGTTTTGGAGAATAGTTGAAGTTTTTTTATTACCCACTTATTTTTTTATACCTAACATAAAAATATTTCAACTCAAAACACAAAATAAACATAACCTATATTCTTTAATAAAAAATATATTTCATGTCAATTAATTAAAAATCACTTTCTTCACATTTGTTTGGAGAACAAGCATTTATAAACTTTTTTCCAACAGTTTTAGTTATAAGATACAAATAATAAACCTCAATAAATAAATGAACAATCCCAACATTTTGAATACTTTATAGTATTTTAAATTTATTACTTTTAATACATAAAAAAAAAAAGAAACATTAGATATATTATATAAAATTAGAAAAAAAAAATTAGCATTTGAATTATGGCTTTGAATGTGTTTACTATATGATATAAAACAGTTAGATATAAAAATAAATGTTAACCGAAAAAAATTAAAAAATATATTAGATACTAAATGTTAACCGAAAAAAATTAAAAAATATATGAGATACTAGTTTCGTCCTATTTCAAAGGGACAATTTGCTTTTTCTTTGTAATATATTAAAAAATAATAATAATTTATTAATTAGTACAAGTGTGTAAGATGATTTGATATTTTACCTTTACAAAATACATATGAAGTAATAATATTTTTATAATTTGTGTAATTAGGAGCATTTTCATATTTTTATATAAAATGCTTTTACTATATTAAAAAATAAAGATTTTTTAGTGAGAAATAAAAATAGTAAAAAAATATACTTGAGTTAAGATTGATGGAGTATCATTTTTTTATAATATTTTTACAATTAAGCATATAGCACAATAAAAACAACTAAAATTATAAAAACTAAACAAATAATTTTAAAAATTATAGAAATTTTGAAAATTTTGAAAATAATAAACAAGAAATGAATATTTGATATAACATTTTGTGAAAAAAAAAAAATAGATACTTAATTCAAAAAAATTTTGGGGAAAAATATATTAGTAATTAATAATATCAAAACTTTCCAAAAATATGTACATAAACAGATTATATATTTGTCGTAAATAACTTGCTATTGTTTTAAATTTGAAATAAGTAAAAAATTATATAATTTTCTTTATTTACACAAAAATTTTATTATGTTTCCTATTATAATAATTTATATATAAAAAAATCAAATAAAAAATTAATGACAATTTCATTTAGATATATTTTGGTAAATAGTTAAAGTTTTAGAAAATAAAAACTAGAATACTGAAAAATTAATATTTGATAAGATGTTTTTTGAAAAAAAAAAAAAATTAATTATTTAGCATGATATAAAGTTTGTTTATGTTAGTTTTAAGAAGAAAATTATGAATGGTATCAATCCTAAAATAATTTTGTACACATACAAAATAGATCTAAATTTTGATTAATAATAATACAAATAAATACAACAACAATAATAATACAAATAATAACAATAACATAACTTCACATCCCCCTCAAATTCTTAGGAAATGTGGCGAAGAATTCCATGAACATCATTTTGGCAAATAAATTGGTAGTTAAACTCAATATTTTAGTATGTTTATGAATATATTATTGTGTGTCATTTTTATATCACCTTAATTATCACAATAAAAAGTTGTAGGAGAAGGTTGAGGCACCAAGATCAGTGAACAACCAATGTAGTCAAAATAGTTTTGATATGGAGTTAGTCAGAATACAATATTTTGACTCAACACTCGATCGGGAAACTAAAGTATTTTTACTGCGCCAAGATATAAGAAAATCATTTAAGAAACAAAAGCTAGTAGTGAAACGAATATCGATTAGATTACCAGCCCAATCAGCATTAGAGTAATCGCTAAGTGTCAATAATTAGTACGTTGAGAAATATAAATTATGTAGAAGAATACTCTTCACATAACAAAGAAAATATAAAACGATAGAGTGATGAGAAGTTTGAAGCAGCCATGATTAATTCATAATATGAATTGCATAAGTTGTATTAGATCAAATGACAGTCAAATAAATCAAACTTTCTACAAACTAATAGTGGAAAAGAGAATTATCATGAAAAATTACTCAAATGTCATATAAAAGTGGTTTAGAGTTTGTTTAGCAATCAATGAAACCAACTTGAGAAATAAGATCAAAAATATATTTAACTCGAACTAAATAAAAACCATTTGAAGAGTTTGAAATTTCAAATTTAAAAAAGTAGCAAAAATGACTCAAATTATTCATTTTAAACGGTTGATGTAAATATACTTGTAGATGAAAAATATTAGAAGTATCATCCTTAGTGGTGATTATATTATCAACATAAAGTAATAGAATCACAATCATTATGAATAACGAAAAATTACTACTAATATAATATCAATATTTTTAAAATTTTATAGCACAAATTGTTCGGATTGATTTGGGACTAAAGAAATATTTAAAGTAGCAATTTTTTTAAATAAACTTACTTTGAATAAATATTTTTAAAAGAATCTATGTAAAGTTTAATATTTTTTTAAATATTATTTCATGTGTTCGCAAGAAGGTTGTAATTAATTTTATACGTATTGATTTTTAAATACTTCCTCCGTCCACTTAGAAGGTTGACATTTACTTTTGGTGCGGTATTTAAGAAATAATAGTATTTTAGTTATAGTGAGTAGTTAAAATTAGTGTAATGACATTTTTGCCCTTACTTTTTTTTTTGTATAAAAGTAACGATGTGATGTAAAGTAAGGGTATTTGTGAAAAAAATATGGTATTTAATGAAATATTAACTTTGTAATTGAACGTCCCAAAATAGAAATATGTAAACATTGTAAGTGGACGGAGGGAGTATTAATTATTATATCAATACGTACTGTAAATTAAGAGAAAAAAGAGAAAATATGTTTTTATTAGCATCTTATAATATTAATACAATGACATTTTTGGAATAAATTATTCAAATATAAGAATATTTTTAATGTCAAATACAATGACAAAAAAATCAAATGATAACATTACACCGGGACAAAGAAATATTTATTTATTTAATATCTTATTATTATAAATAGCAATTTTTATAATTATTTCATTGCCAATTGTCAAATGTTAGAAAACAATATATAAACACGATTTTCTTCAGAGTGTTAAGGGTTTGTTTAGTTGTCTTTTGGTTCATTTGTTTTGTTTGTATTTATTTTTTTATTTTTCAAAATATCTGATGATTATGAGTTCAGTCGTATATGTCTATTCATTGGTAATTATAAAATAAAAAATTATAATAAAACTTAATTCAAAACGTTAGATACACAAACTTTTTCATAGACTATAATAGCCAAAACGGATTGGCCGGACGGATTAGTCCACAAGCCCCTACAACTCACAAATAAACAAGTTGTTTGTCAGGATAATCTATAATTTAGTCAGTCCAGCCTAACTCAACCGACCGACAGATGATGAGTTACGCGGGTTAAACCACGGTCTTTTTAATAATAATAATAATAATAATAATAATAAATTTATAAATATTTTTATAATTAATATATAAATAATGAATATTTCAGAACAAGTAACTAATTACATATTTTGAGATTGAATGAATACTATCCGGATAAGATATCCGCCTTATCATCAATTCTTTATAATAATAGATAATGTTGCGACTCTTTGAATTGACTTTGGTTATTTTAACTTTTTTTTGTTATTATAAAATTCTAAAAATTCTTTTACAAACATATTATATTATTATAAAAATATTATATTTAATTACCATAGAAGTCGGGCCTTGCCCTGGGTATGCCTTTCTGAGCCCAAGTTTAGGGCCCAAATATTTTGAAGGCCCTTTTAGAAGCTCTTTTCATAAATGCATAATATTAATATTATATATGTGTATAATAGTAACAAAATATATAAAAATTAATAATTAAATATTTTTAAATAAATATATAGATATTCGAGTTATTTATAAAAGAACATAAATAAGGCTGTCATGTTTTCGGGTCGTGTTCGTGTCGGGTTGAGTCATGGGGTAATAAAAAATTGTCAATCCGAACCTGAAATTTGATCTGAAATCCTAGACCTGAACACGATACAAATTCTTTAAAATCGGGTTCAAATTAATCTGAATTAATTTTAGGTCACCCGAAACTCAAACAAACTCGATATGAACCTGACCCAAAAAACTTAAAGAAAATTAAATTAACCTAAAAAAATTCATTTGTATTTTAATATTTTTATATTTAAAATAATATAAATATTATAAATTAAAATAATAATAAAATAATTTCAGGTCAACCTGAAACCCGAAACTTGACCAAATTTTTATATTTCGGGTTATCAGGTCAACCCGAAACACGATCCAAACATGACACGAATTTTTTTTTTTTTTCGTTTCGAGTTCAGATTGCTGACCCGATCTTTTGCATATTCGAAGTATCCAAACCTGAACCTAAAAGTTTCCAGGTTGAACAGATTTGATTGTCGAAGTAGTTTTTTATAACCATAATAATAAGCAATAAAACAATTATAAAAAAATACAAGTAAGCAAACCCTCATCTTTCCACAAAATGAGAAGAACATATGTATACCATATCACGTTTAGAGAAAAACGTGTGTCTTTCTCACATACGAAATTTCAAAGAAGATAGATTTCCAAAAACAAAAACAATATTACAAGATATATATGTATATATATATATATTTTGTTCGAAACTTGTAGAAATTCGAACAAACATTCATCAAGAGATTGGCAATGGAGCTCCATTCCATCCCTTCAAGCATTCGAGCAATGGCTCGACCATTCTTCCATCGCATATAGCTTCAAACACCTTATCGAACTCTTCTCCCGGCGACGTCTCCTTCTCGCCCGTCAAAAATCTCGTCCCGACCTCGTCCCTAACGAACTTGTACAACGGGTACGACCTACATTCCTTGATCCGATTCCCGATTGTCGATTCCCCACGCTCGACCTCGAGTCGAGCGCTCTCGACTTCTTTCGGCAAAAGGGTCTTTAATTCTTCCTCGAAATCACCGATCTTTGTAAAAATGGATGTGAAATAGGCCTTCTCTCCCTCGGCATTTGCCAGGGCGTGCTCGACGAGCACTAGCCGTAGTTTTTGCATTAAAGGGTATGTGGCACTACACGGGTCATCGATGTAGGAGAACACGTGCACTTGATCGACGACCTTGAGCAAGTCCTTTTCACAAAATCTCGACGGATGGAGCTCGCCGTCGTCACTTATCGTGAGTACCTTCTTCGTGGCTTGGCTAATGGTGTTTTTCACCGCGACTTTTAGATTTTCCTCCAAGTGGCGAAGATCGACGGCTTGGCATAAAGCGACGAGGAATGTCGCCGACATTAGCTTGAGGATGTCGACGGATTCGGACGTTTTGCGCGCCGAGATTAGGCCCAACGAGTTCACGTCTTGGTTGTGTTGCTCGGCGCTCTCCACGTGGTTCGTCACGGGATTGGCTAAGTGTTGTAGCTCGGAGCAATACGACGCCATGGCGACCTCGGCGCCCTTGAAACCGTAGTCGAGGCTCGGGTCCCGACCGCCCGAGAGACTCGATGGTAATCCGTTGTTGTATAAGTCGTTCACGAGCTCGGTGAACTGCGCGAACATGAGTTTTCCGATCGCCGCGACGGCGAGGCGCGTGTTGTCCATCGACACGCCTATCGGCGTGCCCTGGAAATTGCCTCCGTGGAGCGCTTTGTTCCTCGACACGTCGATGAGAGGGTTGTCGTTAACTGAGTTGATCTCTCGCTCGATCGATTTAGTCGCCGCGCGGATGACCTCGATTTGCGGGCCGAGCCATTGCGGTGACGTGCGGACGGCATATCGATCTTGCTTTGGCTTTAACAACGAGTCTATAGCGTGTAGCTTTTGGGCTTCTTCAACGTAAGAGCTCCCGTCGAGAATGTGTTCCATTATAGCCGCGGCCTCGATTTGGCCCGGATGGTGTTTTAACTTATGTATCAGATGATCTGTGAATTCGGGCTTCCCGTGTATAACTTCGACTAAAATACCCGATATAACCTCTGATAGGACAACAAGAATATTGGCGTCGTATAATACTATTGAGGCGAGGCCCGATCCAACGGCGGTGCCGTTTACTAGGGCAAGGCCTTCTTTGGGCTGCAAGTTAAAGAAGCCCGGCCCAATGCCGGCAAGGTCAAATGCTTGGGATGCATTTAGGACTTGACCATTGGGCCCAATGGCCTTGGAATTGGGCCGGCCCAATAAAATTCCGGCAATGTAAGATAATGGGATTATGTCACCGGAGGCGGTGATGGTGCCCCGGAGTGGTAGGCACGGCGTGATCCGATGGTTGAGGAGTTTGGCGATCGCGTCGAGAATTTCAAACCGGATCCCGGAGTATCCTTGTAGGAGTGTGTTGATTCTTACTAGCATTGAGGCCCTTGTGGCCGATTTTGGAAGTTCGTGGGTCGACTCGGATCCATTGCCAAATATTCCCGCATTTAGGAACCTACGGAAAAGAAAAACCAGAGATCCGATGTTAGAAAGATTTTATGGGACAAAATAAATCATTATTTTATCTAATGTATGTGTAATAATATAAATAACTGTCTTGTCGAGCCTAGTTTGTAGAGTATTAAGTTCAACTGGAAATTATCTAGAGCGCACTCGACGAGTAACGACTGTAGTTTAAACGTTATCAAAATAATAATAATAGTAATAATAATAATAATAATAATAATAAAGAAAATGATATTGTGTTTGTGGCCTCCCTGGATACTCCTCGGGAGATGCATGTAGGAAATGAGATTGGTGTGGGAGTAGTAATTCGGGATCTTCCACAATGATAGATATAAATATGGATTGACGTGACGTTTTGAATGTAAAATTAATTTTTAATATAATATAAAAAATAAAAAATAGATGTTTGATTTGATAATTTTGAAAAAAAAAATTGTATAAATAGTAAAAATCTACCAAAATCCTTTAAACAAACCAGAGATTTTATAGAGATCAGGCCAAAGAAATCTATTTGGGGCCAGCAACTTCACAATTCAAGCATAATGAGTGTGTTATATTCAGTTTAAATTGGATTTGGATATTTGGATTTTTAAATCAAATAATATTTCGTAAAAGTATATATATTTTTTAAAAATATCAAATTTAAATAGTAAAAAAATTAAATAAACACAAAAAGAAAATATAACCTAAAAATTTATCTATTTAAAGTAAAATGATGAATGTGGTTTTTTAAGCTATTTGTTTCTATTAAAAAAAGTATGTTATTTGTCCTTACTATGCCGACAAGATTGTCTAATTTTTATTTTTTGTCCCATTGTGTTTGTTCGAGAATTTAAATTTTGAGTTGAGATTTGAATAATAAAAATTTTGAATTTAAATAGTTGTATGATGTGATATAAATATGGATTGATGTGATATTTTGAATGTAAAATTGATTTTTAGTATAATATAAAAAATAAAAAATATGTGTTTGATTTGATGTTTTTTGGAAAAAAAAATGGGATGAACAGTGTATTTAAAATTCAATCCCCCAAACAAACACACCAGTGAATTCACATTTTGTTTACATACATATTCATAGTAATAATTTTTTAAATTTTACAAACATTATATTAAATATTAATTTGGTTTGAGTTATTGAGAAGAAATAAAAAAGATATATATATATATATATATCAAATAAAAAATAACTAAAAAACACATATTAATTCAAAGTATTTCCATATTTAAACACCATGATCATGATGCAAAAGATAACACTAAAAAAGTATCTAAAAAGAGAGTGAAATAAGCTAATAATTCATTTTATCAAATTTGATCAATTAATACTAAAAGATTGTTCTTTTGTACACTATACTATTCTTAGTAACCTCTTTTAATTTATTTTATTTGTCTCATAATTAAGTATTTATTTGTTTTTTCACATAATTTTAGAAATATTAGTATTATATTGGGATATAGTAGGAATAAAGTAGAAATGACTAACATAATCTTATTAGTATGGTGTGATATAAAGGTAATGATATTTATGTAATATATTGTAAGTTGTAAAGGTATTTGTAATGTTAGGTAGATAATACAATTACTAAAAAAAAAAAATAGATATTTTGTTATGGGACGGATTAAAATAGAAAAATAGATAGTTTGTTATGAGACGGAGTATATTTTTTTAATGAAAAATATATTATATTTTCATAAAAATTTTTTGAAAAATAATTAAATTTATTTAGCTAAAACAATGAGTCTGTTCACTAGGCATTTTTCGATGAACAATTCTCTATGAATATTATTAAAAAATATAAATATACACACAATAATATATATATATTATCAACTTATTAAAAGTCAATCATTCAACACAAAAAATTACTCCCTCCGTCCCATATATTTTGGGCATATTCCCGTAGATACAGAAATTTTAGTAAAGTATAATTAGTAGGTAATTAAGAAGTGTATTAGTAAAAATAATTATTATTTAGTAAAAATAATTATAAATTAAGATTAAAAAAATTTATAAAATTTAAAATTTAAAATGTGATTAAAGTGGATAATAAGATTTCCAAAAAATGAAAAGACAAGTTATGTAGGATGAACAAAAATAGAAAATAGGGACAAATTATGTGACACGGAGGAAATATTTTTTATATTTACTAATGCAATCTTCATATACTATACACAAAAAAAAATAATAATAATAATAATTTATCTAAAAACACTGAGTGAACAAACCAAATACTCCCTCCGTCCCAAAAGATTTGTCTTGTTTTTCCATTTTCGTCCGTCCCAAAACAATTGTCTTGTTTCTTTATTTAGTAGCCGTGGTCCTTACTTTATAACAAAATTATTCTTACTTTTTCATACTATCCCTAATTATTACTCTAACGTACTCTTTAAAATCCTTAAAAAAACAAGGGCATTTTAGTCATTTACATTCTACTTTATACTCACTTTCAATTAAATACTATTATTCCTTAATTTCCGTGCCAACTCTCAATAAGACACTTTTTTTGGGACGGAGGGAGTATTATACTTTTTCAAAATATTTTTATAAATTTTAATAATTAATGACAAAAGAATCATATTGTTCTTAAAGTTATAGTATCACCTAAAAATGACGTAGTCAAAATTATAATACAATTCTAAAATAAATCATACTCATTTCGTCATACTCATTTCCATATATAGATAAATCATACTCTTATTATATTTCGTCCGCCTCTAAGGGTCACATTTATCTTTTGTGTTATTGTACTTAACATTAAACATATCTTTATATTTGTATAATATTTTGTACAAATTTTCTTCTATTAGTATTATAGGATATACTAATTGAAGTATTTTTACAATTTTTTCTTTGAGATCCTTAGAGCTCAATGGAGGTAGTACAATATATTTATACGTACCTAATAAGTTCATTTTGTAGCACCGAGCCTTGTTTAGTTCTTCTATGCGATGTCGCTCCGAATCCAGTCGTGATGCCGTAATTATCCATCCCTTTATTCATGCTCTCCATCACCCAATCGCTACTCGCCTCAACCCCTTTCTTGGCCCCCTCGGCTAACTCGACCTCAACCCCTTTTCTCGCCACTGCCGCCACTTGCGCTATTGTCAGTGTCTCGCCCCCTAGTTTGATCGCCCCCGCCCGTTTATATTCATCCACCATACCCTTGACTTGGTCGAGGTGGCTTCCCATTAGGGACTCAGCCGCCTTGCCCCATTTCAACGAATCATTGCCGCCACCATTTTTGTCATCGTTGTACATGTACGGCGACGAATTTCCATTGATAATTTCCATAATAGGTACTTTTGAATAGATTTTTTTTTTTTCCTTTTTTACTTTTTTTTTTTCTTTCTCTTTATATATATAGAGAGAGAAATGTGGGTAAGATATTAGGTAGGAGATTTTTGGGGTTTATCTAAGCTTGAAATTGGTTGAGTATGTAGAGTTGGATTGGGTTTGGTTAAATAGAGTGGGAAAATGTGTGTTGGTCGGGCGAGTCTAACCGGGTTGGTTGAGAGAATAAATAATGGCCGTTGGATGGCCATTGCTATGGAGGGTTGAGATGGAGACACGTGTAAGGTTGGTGCGATGGAGTCACGAAAGGCCGACGTCATCTTCCATTTCCGACGTGGGTGGGGGCTTAGTAATTGACATCCGCATAATTATGTCGCATGTTTTTTTAGTGTCAAAGTTAGGTATAATTTATTTATAATAAATAATTGTATTTATTTATTATTTTATTATTTTTATTTTAATAAATAATAATCAATTTATTATATAGTGTGTTGGTTTTGTAAAATAGTTGAAAGATATATTTTTTATACTCTCTTCGTCTCGTTGAAAATTTGTTATTTTTTATTTTTATTCGTCCTAAAATAAAATTATCATTTTTTAATGTAATAATTGTATTATCTATCTAATATGATAAATATCCTTTCAACTTACAATATATTACAAAAATATCATTACTTTTATATTATACAATACAAATAAAGGTATTTTTGTCTATTTTACTACACCTTCATGTAATACTAATATTAAAAAATTTATGTGAAAAAGTAAATATTTTTTTTGAGAAAATCTATACTTTCAATGGGAAGTAAGAATATAAAATATAGTGAATTATATAATTAATAAATAATAATAAATATATGCAATATACTATTTTTGGACAATAATGTAATAATGTTTTTTATTTACAAAAGAAACACACCAACTACATTTTCTAATTAGCATATTATTATTTTTTATCAAAAGATTTATTTGTTTTTTGAAATAGTTTGAGAAAATATTTTTTTTACATGATAGAGAATTATGTAGATGAATATATATTTATATTATTTTTTTTTAAAAAAAAAAAACATATTTGAAAACAAAATACAAAAGGAAGGCATAATTAGTCTTTAATAAATTTCTTATAATACTCTTAATTTATTTTTTACTTACTATATTTTTACATCATAATAATAATAATAATAATCATCATGAATTGTTCACGTTTTCTTTTTTAAGAAAATAACTTATAATCATTTTATTGCTATATTATTGATAGACGACAAAGAATAATTTCAAGTTTTTATCTCGATTTTTCAAAGAAAAAAATAAAATTATGAATGCTTAGTTGAAGTTTAAATCTGAGTTTTGATTTTATCAGTGATTTTGAATTCTATAGTTTTGACATAACTTTTTATTTTAAAAAAATAGTATAATTGTATTTACTTAGAGTTTGTTTTTTTATTTTATTATTTAATTTTTACACTAACTTATAAAATATATTATTTTATTTAACAAGATATAATATTCAAAGTAATTTCTAAATGAAAATTCAAAATTAAAACACAAAATAAAAACTCACCAAACAAATTTGATATTTTTATAGAGAATTATATACTAAAGAATCTGAAATCAAATTCCAAATAGACAATGTAGAATGCATTTTTATGTTTGTTACAGCACATATATATGCAATTTTTCTTGCGAATGGTATAATTGATTGAGAGTTTTGAAGTTTAAAGTAAATAAATAAATATTTAATAGTATTTTTTTAAAAAAAAAAATAGGGTAAACTGGTTTTTTTTAGTCCCGGAACTGGACCCCCTTATTATTTTAGTCTCGTAAATGGAGTCTGTCGCAAACTAATTTTCATAAGTGAAAAATTTTCGTTGTTTTAGTCATCCGACGTCGGAGACACCCACGTGGCTCGCCGGAAGCCACGTGTCCGATGTCCAACCAGGTCACCAATTTTTAATGTTTTATAAACTACATTAATTTTTTAAATTTTTTTTTAATTTTTTTTTCAATTGAACTAAATAAAAGAATTTAAAAAAGACAAATAAAATTAAAAATCACTTTTAAAAAAATAATAAAATCCACGTCGTCCGCTAGCTATGCGGGCGTCTCCGGCGCCGAAGGACTAAAATAGCGAAAATCTTTCACTTATGAAATTAGTTTGCGAGAACCTCCACTTACGACACTAAAATGATAAAGGGGGTCAAGTTACGGGACTAAAAAAAACATTTTACCCGACATATTATTACTAATTAATAGTATTAAAACATTAAATATATATAAATATGTAAATATACCATTAAGGGTATGTTTGGTAAATAAACAATAGAGAAATAAAAACTAATTTTTTTGAGCTAGAGAAATATAATTTGAAAAATAAAAAATTTATATATTTTCATTTCTCTTTTATATCAAAACAAATGGACAAAAACGAATATTGATGCAGTATATTTATTTTATTTTAATTTTTTTTGTACTATTTAATTTTTATAATTTTTTTAAAATTATATTATTTCAATTTTATAAAAATCACATTTAATTTATTATTCAATTTATTATTCAAGTATTTAATTTTTATGATTTTTAAAAAATTATACTTAAAATTCGATCTTACAAAACATTGTATATAATTTTTTATTTAAACAAAAAAAAGTCATTAAAATTATTTTTTCATAAATTCTCACTTATTGAAACTTTCTATTGTCCGATTAGTGATCGATTCATCCAAATATTTGCATTTTTTTTTTTTATATTTTTCAACCAAATTATATGTTTTACCAAATAAGACAATTAATTATCATTATGTTGAATTTTTTTTTTTTTTTTTACAATTTTATTCTCTATTCTCATTTCTAAATAATTATAATCAAATTAAAAATAATTGAGTTATGTGTATAATTAAAATTATAACACATTAAGAAAACATAAATTAAATAAAAAAAAAAAGGCGAAGAACCACATAAAAAAAAAAAAAAATACTAAATCTGTCTCAAATCAATTAATATAGTTTTGTTTTTTAGTTTGTCTCACATTATTTAATATGATTTTATTTTAAGTAAATTATACTATTTAACCATATTTAATAAATAAAAATTAACATAATTAATTTTATAATATATAACATCATATCAGCTGGCCAAAACTGATCCGACATGATAACTCGATACGAAATAATTGGGTCAAAAATTTCAATTCGATTATGTATACGGGTTGACACAAATCCGACACGATAGTAAACGGGTCGGGTTAGGGTTGAGACTCTCAACTCGAACCCAACATGACAACCCGATTATAATATATTAATATTGATTAATATATTCATTATATACGTCAAATAATCATAATTTAATAATTTTCTCATAAATTAATTTAAACTAAGTTCAAATTTAAATAATTCAATCTAATTTACGTTCAAATCAATAAAAACTAACATAACACGACAACACAACAAAAAATTATTTAATTTAAATTAAAAAATTAACTTAATTATGTATATGGGTCAACACGAGTCAACCCGAACCCAACACGATAATAAACGGGTCAACACAAATTCGACACGATAATAAACAGATCGGATTAGAGTTGCATAATATTCAACCAAATCGACTCATTGCCACTCATTAAAAATCATATCTATATAAAAATCTTTCTATATTCTATATTTTTCACCAATAATTGTTTTTTTATTTTATATTTAAAAATTTATATTTTTTTTATAAAATTAGTGTATATTAATCATAAATAAACATATATATTTATTTATGTTATATAAAATATTAATTTTTATATAATAATACTCATATTTTATTAAGATCTAGTTTTTAAAATATTTAAATATTTATTTATTTTTTTAATTATATATACACTTAATTTTTATTTTAAAAATATCAAAAACATTATTCATACACAAAAAACAAATATAATTTTATAATCCATTATATATTATTGTACCAATTGAGAATTTCTTTCCCCCTAACTGTTTTGTTTTCATCCTCAATTTATGAAATAAATAGCAAAATTCATCTAAGTTATAGGGATTAATATATTAAATTCTTACTATTTAAAGAAAACAAAAAAAAAAAAGAAAAAGAAAAAGCAAATCACCAATTGATTCTTCTCTTAAAATTTTATGGGTCTCTTCAGATTTCGCTCCAGGCATCTGTTTCCAACTTTAATTCATTTTTTTTTTTGATAAATTGTTTAGATTAATTTTTAATTTAAAGGGTTTTTTGTTTTCGAGTATTCGATGATGCGTGATTCTAGAAATTGAATCTTTACATTGAATTTGTGTGAATGTTCATGTATGAATTAAAAAATTACTCCGAACGAAGAAGATAAAAATGACATTACAGTAAAAAAAATATAAAAAAAAAATTGAAGAAACAAAAGCAAAAAGAATGGAGAAAAATGAAAAATAAAGAAGAAGAAAATGAGTCAGTGGTAAAATATATATATATATACATACAAGGGGTATAACAGTTCAGATAAACAAAAGATTAACACCGTTAGTCTAATTTTAAAGGGAGGGGTGAGTGTGCAACATTTTGGAAACCACGAGTAGGTTTTTTGGAATTTTAAAACCACATAGTCTTTTTCAGCAAATTCGAGAAATCACTGAAATTTTTTTTGTTATTTTGCCTAAAATATACTATACAATAAATTTTATATAATATAAATAAAAAAAAATTTTATTTATTTATTTATTTATCACTATCATAAATTAGGTTATAAGAAAAAATAAAATTTTAAAAATAAATAAAATTATTAGTTAATTAAGAAAAAAATATAAAAATAAAATAATTTTGAGTGAATACTAACTTAGAAATTTGACTAAATTAATTTATATTTTCTAAATGTATTTAAAAATTAGGGTGTGTTTACTTGTATGATTTTGGTTTAGGTTTTACTATTCCAAATCTTTATTCCAAAAATATCAAATCAAATACACATTTCTTATTTATTATATTACACTAAAATTTAATTTTACATTCAAAATATTATATAAATATATATTTATATCACATAAAATAACTATTTTAATTTAAAATAAAAAACCAAAATCAAAATTCTACGAATAAACACACCCCAATAAATTTGTCAGATGGACGAAAAAAAAAAATTGATAATATATGGGGGACTGGAGTATTACCTAACATTT